GTTTTGTTTTGTGTTAAGGACAACAGTTGGTGTCTACCACTAAAGTGAGCCGTACCCTGTTCTTTAAAAAACAATATGACATATAATTTTCTTTGTAAAAAATATTCTGTGAACAAATACTGATGAATTATTTATACCCATGTGTTGAGTTTACTTCAGTGGAAAGAGAAGCATTGTCATATGATAAATAATATATATGCTGACTGAAGCAATATATGTCCATTGTTACAGCTGCAAGTGTGACTGTTCCGACTCACTACACTTGTGGTTGGTTATAATTGCCTTGCCCTGGTTCAACTTTGTCAGTTTACTGTAGAGCAGGGAAGCTACTTTAGACTTCTGTCTTGTGCAATGGAAAAGGTATTGGTCAGAAATCTATAACATGTAATAGTTTATTTTTTACATGTTATTCCATGTCATCTGACTGGCCAACAAAGCAATTATGTTTTCATATTTGCTTCTATAAACCGAAAATACTTTCGGCCAAGCCCCATGGCTGTTTTCTGGTTGCAAATGACTTGTGTTGAGTTATTGTGCTTCAGTGATGTCGCTGATTCTGTATCATACACTGTCAATGACTGGCTTGTCTGCTCCAGACTGCTGTCTGAATACTGCTCCATCAATGGTGTAGATGGCTGGCTTTGCCTTGACCACCATGTGTGCTCAAGAAATAAATCACATTTTGTGCGATTGGTTTGTTTTGTTGCTGAGTAGGTTTGTTGTTTGAGGGGAAGCATTTGTCATTGTGTTTTACACACACAACACTGCTAGGGTTAAAAAGTCTCCAGAACAGGGAGGTTAACATGCTTGTGTGGAGATCAGAGATTTTGTAAACACTTGATGTTGCCAGAGACAGAAAAGCAGTTGAATACCTGCCAACTTGAAAAAACCCAGATGTACCATCTTCAAACTGTCTTCTAAATAGGATTAGCTAAAGTGCTAGCTTCAGCTTAGCTCTGTAATTGACTTGCTTCACTCACATGTGCTAACAAAACGATACTCTGATGGCAACAACAAAGACCATGCCGACCCCTTGGCCATCGCCCAGGACAAACAACCACCACCAGGGAATATACTGACTAGATGCTCAGTGCTTGTTGTCCCAGGTGTATATAGACAGATGCCATTTTCTGAATACTACTGCTCCTTTACTTTTCAACATACTCCATTCCTCAAATCATTTCCTGTTATTCCCTTCCATACCAAAGATGGGAAATGAGTAGTTCTTGTAATGGAAGCTTTTCTTATGACTGTGTGAACTGTTTTCTTCATGATGGCTATGCAGTAATAACCAGGTACTGGGAGGTGACAGGTGGGATGTGCGTGAGTAGGATGTTTGGTATTTTCCTGCATTTGTGTCTCAGATATGTTTAGATAGACGTTTCTTAGAATTCCTTGGCAAAATTGATATGATACAGTTCAAAGACATTTTTTAATTTTTCCAGTAAGAAGAGTGATTCAGATGCCTTTCTGTGTGATTATGATGGACGTGTAATAGCACCATGTTCCTTTGACCTAGAATGCTGGTCGATATAAAATAATGTAGCTATCAGCTTGTGTAAACACTGACAGAAATTGTCTTTAATGGGAAAGATAAAATGAGTAAAAATACCTCTTTTGACCCACCTGCCCAGGGTTTCATTGTGGCATGTATTACTGAGGACTTGTCAGGGAACAGGGTGAGACTTGCACTGCTTGATGATGACAGTTTGTAATGGTGATGGTTATCCCAGTTTGTATGAGTGACATGGCATTTGACTGCATGGAGCTGTTTGTAGCTGGATGTTACAGTTTTTCAAGGTAGGTTGGAGAGCCTTACAGTTGTGTGGCTGGGGCTGGACTGTTTAGTCAGTGGGTGATCAGTTGTGTGGCTGGGGCTGGACTGTTTAGTCAGTGGGTATCATTGTTGATTGGGAAGGTGATATTGATGACACATTGGTGATCATTGTGATGGTGATGTCAATGATGATTGTGACAGTGGTATTGATTGCAATTGTGATGGCGATATCAGTGCTAATATACTTACTAGTGCAAGTTATTTTACAGTTATCTCACAATAACTGAAACCTGTGGGGCTTTCTGGGTCAGAATTGGTCCTCAGCTACTAAAGCTGATCATGAGTTGTGACTTAACGGATTGCTTTGTCAAGATCAGTGACTTGCTGGATGGCACTTCAATGCAGAGTATGGCATGGGTTGTTGCTCATTATGTCATTCACTAGATTGTCTGGGCCAGATTAAATTATTGACAGTCTGCCATCATATAGCTGGAATAGAGCTCAGTGCAGCTTAAACAGACAAAGCACATCAATACCTTGATGTGGTGCTGTGTGACAGTTCTATGAATATTTGGGACCATACAGTGATGCAGCATTGTAAGTGACATTGATGTTCAAGATGACATTGATTACACTGTCAAGCTGCTGTTGTGGAAGATGATGATCTGTGCAAATGTGTTCGGTATGCTCCAGATCAAGTCAGCTCATTTTCATCATGAAGAGAAACTGATGTGAAAGATGATCATTCTTGCAATTTCTGATATAAACCATGTGATTCTTTTCAGTAAATATATCACCATTACAGAGTAAGGATACCCTATAATCTTTTGAAGCTCCTGATTTATTAGACTTGGACATGTCAGAGGTGTTTTGTGACAAGCCTGCTTACCATCATGTTGTTAGTTTTCTCAGGTGAAAGGAAGCCATGCCAGCAACAGAACACCCCTCAGCTGCCATTGTTTACCATATTGACCTCAAGCCCTGACTTTGATTAACTGTTCTCGCCACTTTGATTTTCAGTCAGTTTGATTCTTCCAGTTATTTATGTTAGGCTTGTTTGTAGGAGTATTTGTTACTCGTGTTTGGTTTCTTGTCTGAGCAGCATGTTCACTCAGTCATTTTTCACTGCTGTACATAGGAGGAGAGTCACATTATTTGTCCCTTGCTTGGTCCTCATTGATTTTCTTGAATGTTTCCATGTCTTGACCCCATATGTGTCAGAAATGTCAGTGCTTGACCCTTTTGTATTGATTTTTTGTCTGTTCTTGAAAGAGGTCATCCAACACTGTTTTCTGTTCAGTACCTATTTCATTGCCAGACAGTATGGAGAAGAAGCTGTAGTTTACCAGTAAGTTCCTTAAGTAGGGGGAAAGTTGAGTTTAAAAACTGGTAGATTATTTGAAATATACACGCGCAAGGTCAGATAGGTGACAGTGAAAGTGAAAGTTTTTGTCCAAAAACAATTTAAAGTATTTTGGGCCTCTCTGTGTTTGGTTGCAGTCATAGCGTAGATATAACTGAGGTAGATTTAATGGCTCTTATAGCAGCATTGCTCTCCAATCACAGCAGTGGACACAAAGAAGAGCCACCATGTGTGCCTTATTTTGGGAATGCAAAATGCAGTGGTCTGTTCCTTCACCAGATGTGGTCAGGATAACATAAAATGATGACTGTACTCATGGTACACATCGAGAAAACTGGGCCCCAATCCACAAAGCGTTTGTAATGTTACGACATGTCGTAACTCTATAGTTTATCATAGGCTTATGAATGTCGTAACTCTATAGTTTATCATAGGCTTATGAATGTCGTAGTGCTACAAACGCTTTGTGGATCGAGACCCAGGATTGTAAAAAATAGTTTAGATTATTTGGCAGTTTTAATTCAAAATGCTTTTTGATATGTATATAATTTGTTAAAACAGTTACAGGATAAATTGGTGAGGGAAACTGCTTTGGTTTTGAATGATTTCGTTAAGAGAAGGATATTACTGGAATTTAGGGCAATGAGTCAAATGACAGAATGCTGATGTTCTGTCAGAAGTGGTTTATCATGTTCAAGGCTATCACAAGCAAGGATAACACTGGCGACTTGGACAGATTTGTCTTCATTAAGGTCTGATTGTCAATTAGCACGAAACTCAAGGAAATATGATTGATTACTACATCATTAAACTGTGGAGTAGTATTTTTCTTGTATATAAGTCTAACATTTCTTGTATTTTATATTAAAGTTTGAGCAGGGTATTCCCCAAGGACGATGTGATTATCCTGCGCTTGTTAAATAAGCTGCTCACAATTGTCAAGAGGATACAAACATCATGTGAATTAGTTCCTGATATTCAGTTCATGACCCAACTCATCATTTGTTTTGCTTCATGTGATATTGATTTGTCTGTCATGGAAAGCAATCATTGATCCTGATCAGTTTGTTAGGCTCATAGACTTTATTGATTTTATTTGTGGCATGAAAAGTGTTCAGGCGGACATGATTGCCAAATGATGAAGAGAGTGATTTGATCTGACACATATCACACATAGCATGAATAATTAAGCCAAACTGCCCTGAAGCTGATTTTTTTTTCATTCATTTATCAGTATATTTCATATAGCCAAAATCATAAAATGTCTCATGGGGCTGCAATAGTAACTCATTTCAGTCAAATGTCCATTTATTGATGTATACATGAAATCCTGACACAAGTAATTTCCACTAGTTCTATGAATACTTGAACTATTGATCTGGCTTTTGGTTTTGTCTCAGAGTAGTGCCAGCTTCTCAGCCTGTTTGGACATGAGGGACCCAGCTCTCACACTATCAAGTTATGTTATAGACAGTATGACAGTGCAGTTGATCCACAGGTTAAATATTCTTGGTAACCCTGGAATCTGACTGTGCCATAAACATTTTGGTTTAACAGGTCTGTTGGCATTCCTTCAAACAGACCCAGTGCTCTGTAATATATAAAAGTATTTAAGAATTTAGCAGCATGACAGAACATATAGCCGAAGAAGAGTTAGGGCTCATGGTTGCAGACCCTGAGACAATTATCCTGGGAATAAACAGGAACTCTTCATTTCAGGGGGGTCCTGGGAATGCTGACAGTACAAGGATGGCTTAGTACTGGGTATGATCTTCCGGGTTGCTTTTGCCCCCATGGTAGGTTTATTGTCATGATGGCATAGATCGTGAATGTTTGTCTAACTTGTATTCTTTGTTTCAGACAGGACATCCCTGGTAGGATGTGTGTTGGAGAGAGTCTACTGACCAAACAGTAATGGCAACAAGTGGCCCTGTGTCTGTGTTAGATAGTGGTAGAAGAGAAGCTGCAGGAACTTTGAGAGACAGAGTCACCCGGCGACGGAGTCCAGCACGCTGTGCCAGTAGGTCCTCAATTCATGAATTACAACTTAATGAGTTGCAAGTGACTGACTTTGATATAGATTATAGGATTCCACAGCCATACAGGACAAGTTTCAGTGCCACCCATTCTGTTGAGAAGAAGGTAGGACGAAGCAGATCCTTAAGTCCATCATCTAGTCTGAGGTCTGGAAGAAGGCCCAAAGGAGCCAGAAGTAGGTCCAAGAGTCCAAAGCGAGTGACATATGACACAAGAGTCACTGTGCGCCACTCAGATACAGAGGATAGTATGTTCACAGAGCTTTCTAGTCATGAGTTTGAATCAAGTCCACAAAGTTTGACAATCAATTCGCATCCAAATAAACTAAACACTTCAATACGATCCGCTGATTCTGGGATAGATTATTCTTCCCAGCTGCGGGACATCTCTCAACAGATATACAAGATGGATTGGTCTCCACATAACACACTTGACAAATCAAGTCGCCCTTCTCATGGGATTCTCAAAGACAAACAAAATTCAGTAAACATGTCCCCAGTGTCTCCCATGTCTCCTGTGTCAAATGACAGCATACAGGTATCACCGCAGAGTCCAGTATCAGTTGATATTGGGAACAAAGAGAACAGTCCAGATGGTTCAGTGAGTAGAACAGGAGACACTGACAAGAGAAGGATTATCACGAGGGAATACAACTATGACCGGACCATAAGCTACAGGATAGCGGTACAGGAGGAACCGTCAGATGAACTGAAACAAATCGGGGAGGAGATCATTGATGGTAAGTCTCCCGAAGACAAAGGTGTGAGGAAAGAGAGGTCTAATACTCTACCAACACAGAACCTTGAAAATGGGCAGCTCTCCCCCATGAAAAAAAGTGTCAGCACCAGTATTAGCAACTTCTTCAGGAAGATTTCACCAAGACTTGGAAGAAAGAACAGCAAAGACAGGTCGGGAAAGTCCAGCTCAGCTAGTGGGAGTGCACAGAGTCTGACAGTAAGTGATGGGGCGTCAGATGGTCACGAAAGTGACCGCTTCTCTAGGAGCAAAGTCAGGAGGTCATTCATGAAGCTGATTGGTAGATCAAAATCAAGGTCAAAAACCCGTGGAGATTCTGGCCACATTTCACCCAAATCCAAAGAAGGTCATGACTTACCAGATGCAAATCCAGACACAAGAGGGCCTGTCACCCCGAAGCAGCAACAGCTCCCTCAGTCAACCAACAGATTGATGAAATCCATTGAGCGCAACTCTTTGTCAGAGAGAGATGTATATTCAAAGTTCAAAGAGAAGCAGTCACCCAACAGACCAAATGAGGTGAGCCCTGGAGGAGGAAAACCTCTTGCAGTTCGCCCGTTGCAAGATTCAGCCAATGAGTCTGGTTACAACAGTTCTAGCATCACTGTGGACAGTGGACATATCTCGGACACAACATATCAGCCAGAACAGGACAGGGGCAAGCCCAACCCACCCAAGTCGCTAGATGTCATGCCGCCAAGGGCAGTCAAGGCATTGCAGACGTCAGTCATCAGCAGCATATCAGGGGATGAATCCATTGGGGAGTGTTCCCTTGATGTCAATCTCACAGGTAGGTTGCTGCTATTGTACCTATTGATGTTTATGTCACGAATGTATGTTAGGTTGGCCTTATAGAGATCAGTTCCAGGACCATGTCTGTCTTTTCAGTACCTGGCCTGTAGTTTTAGGTGTTGGTTGACAGGTGGGTATTCTTATTGTTTCTATGAAACGTGACTTCTTCATGGGTTGTTAAGTGAGACAAATTATTCTTTCATTCTGATGTGGACCAGTACCAGTAATCAATAACACAATCTTTCGCTGTTCAATTTTCACTGGCCATCACTGGACACAAATTCTTCTTATTAGCAAAGAAACTTTACGGGTATTATTGTCTGATTTGACCACAATATCAGTCTCAACATTCAGTTTAGAATTCGTAGTGATATGACTGTTGAAGTTCATTGGTTGAAGAGATTTGTGAACATCTTATGCAGCAAAGAAATGTAAGTGACTCAAGTTCTTTATCCTTATACATAGTTGTAGTCACGGAGGTTAGACATCCGTTATTTTGTGAAGCTGAATCTCCACACTTAGCATTATACTACAGCAAAACTTTATCATTGACTAGTAGGTGTTTTAACGGTTGACTCTGTAAAACTGCCAGAGTGATTTTCCGTGAACATGCTGAAACATAAATAATTTCCTCAGAACATGCTGAAACATAAATAATTTCCTCAGAACATGCTGAAACATAAATAATTTCCTCAGAACATGCTGAAACATTAAAAATTTCCTCAGAACATGCTGAAACATTAATAAGTTACTCAGAACATGCTGAAACATTAATCATTTCCTCAGAACATGTTGAATTATTGTAGTTCTGAATAGGGACAGACAAGTCCAAGAGCACAGTGCATTGTCTATGGCACTGGTGGTACTGAATGAAGTACCACAGATTGTTACACATAACCTGATGTGACTACAGAACGTAAATGGCACTCTGAACTGCCAGGAATATATCAAGGGAAGTTATCTTAGTACTTCTTGCAGCATGTTGTTTATTTTCCGCTGACTATCCGCGTGGATGCAGATAAGATACTGTTTTTCAGCTTTCTTCACTCATCTCCACTTCATAATGTCTTTCTGAGCTGTTGTTATGCAGATGTGTTTAATCTATAAGTGTCTGTGATAGTCTTTCAGTACCAAAATACTGCTATCAAAGAGAACCTGTTTCATTAAAAATGTGAGTAAATGATAAGCCACAAGTGGTTGTGTACTGTTGTGTAAATAAGTCAAAACCTGTGGTTTGTTTTTGTGAGCACCTCACTGGGTAATTATGGTCCAAGGTTTCTCCTTGAGGTGACAGAAATAGATGTTGTTTTCTCTCTTACTGGAACCAATCCAACTTAGCCACAAAAATACTGGAAAGAAACGAAGAATTTGGGTCTGATGTTTAAACCATGCTTCAGCTAGCAATGCAGTACACCTCTGGCCTAGAAAAGACAAAATATTTGTTGTGCTTCCTGGTACTGTACGTGAAGTCTTCCCAGTACTGCATGTTTAGACATTCTGGTACTGTACATGAAGGCTTCCCAGTACTGTATGATTAGACTTTCTGATACTATACATGAAGGCTTCCCAGTACTGTATGATTAGACTTTCTGATACTATACATGAAGGCTTCCCAGTACTGTATGATTAGACTTTCTGATACTATACATGAAGGCTTCCCAGTACTGTATGATTAGACTTTCTGATACTATACATGAAGGCTTCCCAGTACTGTATGTGTAGCCTTCCCAGTACTGTATGTGTAGGCTTCCCAGTACTGTATGTGTAGGCTTCCCACTACTGTATGATTAGACCTTCTGATACTATACATGAAGGCTTCCCAGTACTGTATGTGTAGGCTTCCCAGTACTGTATGTGTAGGCTTCCCAGTACTGTATGATTAGACTTCCTGGTACTGTACATGTAAGCTTCCCAGTACTGTATGATTAAACGTCCTGGTACTATACATGAAGGCTTCCCTGTACGGTATGTCTAGACTTCCTGGTACTGTATGTGTAGGCTTTCTGGTTCTATACATGTAGGCTTCCCAGTACTGTATGATTAGACTTTCTGGTACTATACATGAAGTCTTCCTAGTACTGTATGTTTAGACTTTCTGATGCTGTACATGTAGACTTCCCAGTACTGTTTAGACTTTCTGATTCTACACATGAAGGCTTCCTAGTACTGTATGAGTACACTTTCTGGTACTATACATGATGGCTTCCCAGTACTGTATGTTTAGACTTTCTGGTTCTATACATGACGGATTCCCAGTACTGTATGTTTAGACTATCTGGTACTATACGTGTAGACTTCCCAGTACAGTATGATTAGACTTTGTGGTACTATACATGTAGGCTTCCCAGTACAGTATGATTAGACTTTGTGGTTCTATAAATGATGGCTTCCCAGTACTGTATGTTTAGACTTTCTGGTTCTATACATGACGGATTCCCAGTACTGTATGTTTAGACTTTGTGGTACTATACATGTAGGCTTCCCAGTACAGTATGATTAGACTTTGTGGTACTATACATGTAGGCTTCCCAGTACAGTATGATTAGACTTTGTGGTACTATACATGATGGCTTCCCAGTACTGTATGTTTAGACTTTCTGGTTCTATACATGACGGATTCCCAGTACTGTATGTTTAGACTTTCTGGTACTATACATGTAGGCTTCCCAGTACAGTATGATTAGACTTTGTGGTACTATACATGTAGGCTTCCCAGTACAGTATGATTAGACTTTGTGGTACTATACATGATGACTTCCCAGTACTGTATGTTTAGACTTTCTGGTTCTATACATGACGGATTCCCAGTACTGTATGTTTAGACTATCTGGTACTATACATGAAGTCTTCCTAGTACTGTATGATTAGACTTTCTGGTACTATACGTGAAGGCTTCCCAGTACTGTATGATTAGACTTTCTGGTACTATACATGTAGACTTCCCAGTATGGTATGTGAAAGCTTCCTAGTATTATATGTGTACACTTCCTGGTACTATATGTATAGACTTTCCAGTACCGTAGGCTTCCCAATGCTGTGTGTGTAGACTTCAGTAAATATTTGTGTACACTCCCTAGTATTATATATTTAGACTCCTGTTACTGCATGTGTTGTTAAACTACACTTTCCTTGATTGGAATTCATAGTTTTGTTTTCTTAAAATATGTTGCATATTCAGAAAAGGAGAAAAACGAATCTTCAGACTTTTTGGCCTTCATTTTCTCAGTCCATTCAGGAACAGTTCAGAAATTGTTCGTTGGTTACATTTACTTTAAGTTTATCATTTTGGAATAAATATTTCAAGAGGATTTATGAAGATTATGTAATTTACACCTCAGGTTGAGATATAATCGTCACAATATTTGAGGTGTTGCACTTTTGCAGCCTGCTAATAAACTGAATTCTTTGGCCAAAGCTTTACTACACAATGGTACAGAGCTTTCTGATGACCAGACTCCCGATTTCCATTTTAGTAGGACCCAATTAGCTGCAAATATCTTGTTGATAAGTTTAATAACATGTGTCTTATGATGATGAGATGTTGATGTTTTGTCCTGTGTACTGTTTGACCCACGTGCACTTTTGGGAGGTGTATGTTTTGCTCATACTGGGCTTCCTACCTCTCTACCTAATGTTATGGAGAGGCGATGTCTGCCTTTGCAATTTGAACATTACAGAAAAGTTCATTTGGTGTTTTCTTGAGACTGCCAAACACAAAAGATGCCAAAATATGTATGGAAATCTCTGTGTCCTTTCTTGGGATAGCTTTGTTTACACACAAAAGTTCCATTCACCATGTTCAGCGTAAATATAAATACTGTGATCTGAAAGACAATAAACTTGTGAGCAAATGATGGAGCGTATTCTATATGTCTGTGGTTGTTTGAAGAATACATTGTCTGTTCACATTAAGTTTTTTTTGCTTTACTGCAGGAATAAAGCATATATTTGTATGGTGTGATCTGTTTTACATTTACTGTTATTGTGCTACTTGAACTGCTCATTCATAAACCATGGCTTATGAAGGTTAATTACTTGGAATTTTTTAGTCTCTTTGCAAGTCCTGGCTTAATTATGTTAATCATATTGCTTACAATTTGTAGAGTGGCTAAATGGCAGTTAGGAAAAAAGAAGTGATCTGTTTATGTCTGGAACTATGTATTTGTGGAAACTTGCATACCTTGGAACCATGCCATCTGATTATATGCTTTGGAGCGTGTTTGTTTACATATGCCTGATACTAACTCATTCATTTTGGTTTACTTTTGGATAAAATTCAAAATTCATAATATGCTTTTGATTATGATGCAAAAAAATTATCAAGCAGAAGGAAATATTGGGTGATGTGGCTGTAGACGTAAACAGCTCAGTGTTTCAAAGAATGTCATCAGAAAGGCCTGATACTGTAAGCCAGACAGAGTTATCTCCCTTAGTGTACTATTCTTCGAATGCTTTTCAGTACACTTTTGTTGCACTTGTTAAGTATATATGGAGAACTTCTATAATGGTGACATCTGTTGGCTTCAAATCATTGGTATTAGTAAAGGTGTTGGGAAATGTTTGACATAATAATAATAATAGTGCCTATTTATAGTGCGCACAAATCCACTCTCGTAAGCATGCTCATGGCTCTTAAAAATTGTGCATCGACCATATTCATATTTATTTAAGTCAGAGTGTGTGAGTAGGTGAGTGAGTATTGTTGTGTGTTGCTTATAGCAATATTCTGGCAATATGACAGTAATATGATGGCAGGTAACACATTAAATGGGCTTCACACGTTGTAGCAAATAGAATTTTGTGATTCAAACTTGAGAGTGACAAGAGAAGTCTTTGACCGTTATGCTATTTTCTTTCTACACACCTTGATTAGCTGCAACATTGCCGATGTGACGTTAAGCAGTATTCACTCACTCACTCAAGCTACACAGCCAGCCACCCTCTCAGTCAGTAGTTATCTATGTTTAGGTAAAGGTCTTTGAATAGCATTGAGGACTCTTAATGGGGAATTATATGAATGCCAACTTCTGTAATATGAGAAAGATATGTAGGTACAATGCCCAAATTGTGCAAATAATCATCAACCTGGGCTTTGAAGAGACTCAGCTTGTTGTTTTTTTAGAATGGCACAACTTCAGATTGATCATTTCACAGTCTTTATTGTCATTATTTATAATCGCTTTGTAAATATATTTGTTGGGCATCATTCAAATTGAAATGGAATGTACATGTAAGTACTTCCTAAAGAGTTTATCAGTTGAGAAATGTATGTGAAAAGGGTACCACTGAACAGACAGAAGTAGTGATTGTGACCTGCGCATTTAGCACCAAACTACACGTATTGTATTAACCACTAGTCTGAAGCCTGAGTTTTGTACAGTTTTGTAAGCTTTGCCATAAATAGCCCAAGTCATAATGCTAAATTCTACTGAAAATGATGCTGGGAGCCATGTTCAACTAGTAGAGGAAAGTGGTACAACCACAGTCAAGCATGGTAGTCAAGATGATCTGAGGTTCATAATATTCTGTTTTATTGAAGGAAAGGAAAGGCCGTCTCCGATGGAAGACACACCAGGCAAGTCTTGTTCTGTTCATCTGGTGGCAGTTGCTTTTTGATTTTGTTGTTTGAAATAAATTGTATTCTTGAATGGTATGAGTTTTTCATGGGAATCAAACATGCTTTTCTGTATCAACAGTCCACAGGTGATGGTGTATTTTACCACTTAATGCAGTGACAATATAACCTGATGGAAGGGACATGACTGGGGTTTCCCATTTTTCCATAGCTCTAGATGTTGCCACAGGGATTTATCTAGAACCCAGAGACTCATATCTGGCCCCAAGTCTATAGTAACTGTCTGTAAATTCCAAAATTGGAATTCAATATTTCCCAATTCGTGTTGTTATAGGTAAAACTAATTTGGCTATTTTGGCTGATTTGTATCTAACTGATAATAATAAGGCCAATAAAGAAGAACAGCCTTGAATGCTTTGTTTGACATTTTTGCTTTGAATGTAGTTTTAAAGACACATTTTCTCCAAATTTTGAACCAAGTAATAGTTTCAGTCCTCATCCCTGTGCAACTGTAAATATATTAAAAACATGGCCTTATAAACATATAACACGACATATATGAGCATGCATGTTGGTACAGTATCTTTGTACAAACATTTCTAATCATCAACAGCTAGTGTATATAAATGTGGTAGCACATAAACATTGTCATCTCATGTTGAATGTGTCTCTTGCGATGAGGTTTCATAATGCCAATGTGACGTATAGCCCAACTCAACTCAACTCAATTCAGCTCTCATGTTGAATAGCTATTAATCAAATGGAACAAGATTTGTCTTTGTGACAAGATTGATGACTATCGTGACTGAATCAGTAAACAGCAGCATTTGCAAAATTTAATGTAGATTAAGATACATCACTTCCCTGTTCACTACTTCTTGCACCTACCCTGTAAAACAAAATACAATCAGAAATACAGGGGACATGAGTAAAACAGTCATTCCTCTGTTTCCACAACACTTTGTCTGCAGGTGTTACCTCCCTTTACTAGGTAACCTGCTTTCAATGCCACCACAGCCAAATTATATTTCTTCTCGCAGTGAAAAAGAGGGAGAATAATTTTATTATTAAAGTAACTTATCTATAAGAAATATTTCAAATTAAAATTTATATATTTCATTTTCTAATTAATTACTTAATTTATTTCTAAATAATTCCTACTTTTTTTCTTAATTAACTGATTAAATCTGATGTCTAATTACCTACGCGACAAAGAAAAACAATTCTCTGGTTTCATCTGTTAATTTGAAGAAGATAATTATTTTTAAAACTTTGTTAATTATTTCCATTACAGGTACTTAATATTAGTGTAAAATGTCACTGCAATGTTCATAAGCAAGTACATAAGAAGACTCAATGTCTGTCTTCCTCAGAAACATGAAGACTAGGCATTAGGCTGAAATTTGTCCGTGTGTTTGATGGTAATTGAAAGTCATCAAACATACCCAGCGACTAATGTGTTCCTCATTATGTGTGCTTGATGTTCAAATGACCAGGAATGCTTTTCTGCACGCATCAGCCCCCATTTGGAAGAGAGTGAGCGGATATGTGTTATAACTAATTACGTTACGCGCAGATGCTTTTATCACAGGTTCTTTGCATTATGTTTTTTGTTTGTTGTTGATGTTCTTTTGCAAAATTTGTGTTGAATTGTTTACCTGTTGGGAGTGAAGCAGTTTTTTAAATATCTATTTTCAAGGGAATGTTGGATTATTATCATGCAGAAATAATGATAAATTTTGAAATTTAAATATAATATTGTAACTTTTAAAGAAATAATTCTCTGTGTAATGGCGAATATGAAATTTTCCATTTACTTTTCATGTCACACGACTGAAGGTGCATTGGGAATGAATTTGTGTGGGCACATGCTTGAAAGTTGTAAAATAAAGGTGTGTTATACATTTATACTGCAGTAAAGCTGGTCACCTGTTGACCTTCTCAACCCATCATAGAGTGCAACTGATGATTACTTAGAGTAGTGCTGCACAGGTGTAGGCTGCAGGGAGGGGCTGAATATTGCACCATAGCATGTCAGGCATATGTGAAGTGCAGTGGATGGGCTGATAAGATGTGTATGTGGTGGTGCACTTATGTTCAGTAGGTAGACTAAAAATACATCATTTTGATAAAAACACATAGTTATTTAAATGACCCAAGTGAAATGGCTGATACAGAACCTGAGGAATATCTAAACTTGCCTTATTTAGTGTTTGTGCATTACTGAAGGCTGGGCAGGAGAGAAATACAGATGGTTCAGGGACTGTGTGACAGACTACTGAGTAGGGAACAGTCGGGAAAACTGACACCAAGTGTACACTGGGGTATGAGGTAGATACTAGGTAGAAACTCCAACCTATTCAACATATATGCACATGATCGGCATCCCAGTGTTTGTGCATACTGACTGCCTGTAATTTTGCTGACAAATGCATAAAATGTCACAGCTCACTAGTTTTCACTGACATTGTCATTGACTCCATTCTGTGTGAAGTATGTTTTTGATTTGCTGCAGGTACTTAAGCTTGCAAGCTACACCTAATATCTATCAACCTTGTGGACATGGGTCTCTTATTGGGAAACTAAGTGGCAATAGAAAGAGAGATTTTTAGCCTTGTATCCTGTGGCTAGTGACATTTTGATGAGCAACTAGCAACATTTACTTGACCAAGCTTTCTTTGCTGACTTCCTTTTTGTACAGAAATGTGTGAGTCAGAACTTACATTCCCTGCTGAGTGATTTACTTTGGCTAGTTCATTTCATGTTCACATTAGTAATTGTATCTAACAACCATGACTTATAAAGCTTTAAAGTTAATTGCAGTGTGCGTCTTTAGACGCAAGGAAGAAGTGATTTCTTCTGTCTGGTACGACCAACTCTTACTATTTTTTTATGAGAATATGCCCATATTAGTCTGTTCAAACTTTTACCATTAGACCTGTTTGGGCAGGTACACAGGGCACAGGCAATGACATGGTCCAATAGAAATGCTCTATAAATTTGAAGTCTATATGGGAAAGTATGAAAAACATAACATTTTCAATTACACTTATGAATCACATATCACACCTGGTTGCATTAGTGCTGCTTTATTCAGCATACATGTTAAATGATGTCTGTACAAAAGGTGAGATTTGGACACTATAGTCTTTCTCGATATGGTTGTCTCTTTATGGCAGTATGACTTTTATGTTCTTGATTTTGTTGTATTGTCGACAAGATTTAAGACTGCATTGTCAAACACTGCATCATGAAACTTGTTCATTGAATCAATGTTCAATGCTACTTCATGGGGAAAAAAACATACCGAGTGTGACAACTTACCAAAGACTGTGATGTGAGGAAGCATGACTGCAAGATATCTAATAAGGGTGTAAGAAAAGGGGTATATAGATATTACTGTCAGGTTTTATTGGAAACTGTTGTTTCTGCAGTGTTATAATGTTTGATCTGGGGGTCAGACTCAATGACTTGGTTGATACGTGTCATAGCACCTTGGGTCGTTATTCATGATATCAGTCTCTTATCCAGATATTTCCAGCTCACTGTCATATGGCTGGAATATGGCTGAGTGCAGCATTAAGCAACAAACTTCTAACCTCTGATAAGTAACACTGTTATTGAATGACATGCTCTTGTACAAGTACCTCAATATACAGTCTGTGGGGAAATACCAGGAATAGAAGATTCAAGATCATTGTTTTTCTGTTATTCACTTTAAATATATTTGATGAAAGTCATGACATATCCCAGTGATTAGTTTATACTACTGTTGAATCAGATTCTGAAAAATGGCCACTCAAGATAAGGGAATAACTGACTAATTATACCTTGAAACAAACATTTCTGGGTTAGTATAAACCTCAAAATGAATGTCAGTGCAGTCATGAATATGAAGAATAATGGCACAGACAAATGTCTTGAAAGAGGCACACGGTTACTCTTGAAGCCAACATAGTGTTGGAAGCTTGCAGGAAGTTTTTGCCTACAGTTATCCTATCGCACTTTTGCAAGTATAGAAGACACAGATCGAATTGTAACAGATCTCTAATCAGCACCATGTCTCTTGTGTATACTAGCAGGTATAACCATCCTTATAGACACTGTAACATCACACCACATCTCAGACAGTCAAGCATACCCTATGCCTTTACAGTAATCAAGGGGATAACTCTAAATAAAACCAAATCACACTTGAGGAGCAGATAGTTCACACATTTTGTGTAGATATCCTCAGAATTAACAAACAGAAGTACTTACACAACAATAAATTTCAACAATTTTAAAAATATCTCTTATGTGACATCAGATATTTTATGTTTATTTTGAGTAATTTTCATTTACAGGAGATGAATGAGGTGGTCATTGTAGTGAACTATCTGCTCCTCAAGTGTGATTTTATTTTATTTAGAGTTATCTCCCTTGATTACTGTAAAGGCATAGGGTATGTTGTACAGAGTGAGTATGCCAGAATAAACCAACTTGGCTAGGGACAACCATTGATTGCACAAGACGTCAGTACTATGTTCAGCAATTTTATGAGATGAATATGTACATACAGTAATACGGTAAGCCTTTTAGGTGTAACTGATATCACGACACACAGAGGGATATAGTAGATCATGTTGAATTTTAGGGGCTCAATACATGTAGGGAATATTGAGAATGTTAGTTGTGTAGCTGAGTTTGTGTTTGCTGGTCATGCCAGAGATGGAGGGATCTGTTCTTGAAGCAGGGTACAATGGGTGACGTCTATTCTTGGATGGTACACTTTTTATAGTGTTTAATCAAAGCTGTATTAGAAATTATCTTTATTTTCACCTGATGTGCTTCCCTATAGTAGAACTGGTAGTCCACAAGAAAATGTCACTGTATGATCTTTCCTGATTCATTTTATTTCTTGTCTCAGGTTAGAGTTTCAGAGTTATGTTTATATGACCCCATGGGGATTCTGGGTTTGAATCGGTGCCCAGGTACCAGTACCTATGCTTGTCAAAAAA